TGCCAATTGAATGCAACCAATGGGTTCCAGATTAGGTTGAAGATGCTCCTTCCCCCACTCGAATGGCTCAATGTCAGTATTGCATATCCTGACTTGACAGAATATGAACCTTCACTTGAATGCTTCCATTTCCATGTGTCCACCAGCGCTTGCTTCAGCTGCACGCCTGCACCTCATCCTGTAAGCAATTTAGCTCTTCCACAGTTCCACTGGACTCTGTTCCCAGAGATTCCATATTTAAGAAATGTTTCTTTCATCTATCTTCTTGCACCTTCTGGACAACTTGGGCCGTCAGAGGTTCAAAATTCCTAGGTTCCTCTATTCAAAATTTGATTTTGAGCCCCGTTTTCAAACTGTTTTAGGCTAGTCTTAATCTCATATGCCCAAAAAGGTTGGACCTATTTGGAAGTGGCGAGGCAGTTGGCACGCCGCGTTTTTCAAACTTTGACCAACTAACCTTTTTTTTTTTTAATTAGTGTGTTAGAAAGTACTATTAACTCTTATAACAAAATTTTTTTGAACGAAATATGATGGAAGTTTTTGTTTAAACCGTTAATTTTTTTTTTTGTTCGTATTTCATGAGAAGTAATCATTAAATTTTTTTTAAAAGATTTATTACAATTGACTCCAATAATTAAGGTTAAGACTCATTTAAATTATGTAAAAATTATAAGTTTGAATTCCTTTAACATCATCTAAGTGACAACTTTAATGCTTCATGCTTGTTACATATCTTTTTGAAGACAAAACCTTAATTACCTATTAGATACTTATGGATAAAATAATCTATAAATACTTGTAAGATTCGTTTAAGTTAAAAATGTAAATATTCATGTAATTATATAAAAAGACACCGTAAACATTATTTGAATTTAAAAAAATTATTAGTACATTATTTAAATAGTTTCAATCATGAGTTTAAGGAGATGTATACCATGCGCAAAAATGTAAAAAAAGAAAAAAGAAAAAAGCGGCAAACATGAAACTAGAAAATTCTAGGTAACAGGTCGTCCGACTCGGACATTTTCTTGTGTTGTCTGGACTTGTTAAAAGAGTGGAATGGACCCTACACAAAAACATACCTCTATCTCAAATTCATTTAACTAACCAATTATGGTATGATAAGTCAAGAACATAAAAGAAAAGCAGTTAATTCTCGGCCAAAGACAAAGAGAAAAGCAATTAATTAAATGCTAGTAACTCTTCTTTTTCCCTTGCCCACATGACTTAATGCACTTTTTTTTTTCTGTCAACGAATTAATTAATTAATTAATTGATAACAAGTTATTTTTACATTTTTTGGTAGTTAATTATAAGTTATTTTACATGATTGTTAATGTTAGTGACTCTTTTATGTGCTATTTCTGGATGGCCCACGGTCTGCACCCGTAGCGCAAATGCCCATATCCATGTATATTCATTGTAGACATAGTAATTAATATATTTAATAAGGAAGAATTTTGAATGTTGGCCAAAAGAAAAAAAAAAAGGAGAAAAAGAATTTTGAATTATTTTCTCAATAAAGGAAGTGAAACTTCAATTTTATTGTAAAAATATTTTACATACAATAGCACAACCTTACAAAGAGTGTAATAATTTATATAATAAATATCATCTTAAAGTCTAGACGGTAAATAAAAATAAAACACAAACTAAAAGATAATAAAGTATTACAAATTAAACTATGAGCTTAATCAACAGTAATTTAGAACTTATTTGGTTTAAAAAAAGTGAAGAAGAAGGGAGAAAAAAATATTTCATCTAGTCAAATTAAGTCCTTGGCTTAATGACTTATTTTGCTTAGCTGAAATAGCATTCTCTCTTATCCCCTTCACTGTTTTCAAACCAAATATACTCTTAAAGGATATATAAAATCCAACTAATTAATGACCCCTTTTCTCAGTTTCACCCCACTGTAATTCTGTACAGATCAGCTTCATCATCTCTGTAGAGGGAGATCGTATGACCAACTGTAATGCCTTTCCCCACTCTGAATGCATCCCAACCATCAGTGAAATATACCTGTCCGTTCCTATTTCTGATGGTAAGCGTCCACTGAGTACCCCCCTCATCTGTAACTGACAAGCTTCCGAACTGGCCGTGGTTGTTGCAATCAAATGGAAGATTTGTTAAGTTGGGACGACCAGGAAACCTCATTTCTCTAGTGTCATTTCTCTCAATACTCTTACCCTCAAAGATGGTCGCCATTGTGTTGGATTGAATAGAGTGCACTATGATATAAGAGAATGAGAGAGGTAGAGAACTAACTAGAATGATATTGGCTCTTGGATCGATCCTATATTTATAGCCAAAGATATCAATTAACCATCTCGCTTGATTAATTAAACAAATAGATTACGTACGAAGTATTGTAATAAGATACTGTTTTTTTGCACGATGTGAAATGGGACTTCATTAAGTAACGGATTGATCGATCGAGAACTTATTACTTTCGAAAGATGATTGCGATCAGTCCTAGCGATCCAAAAATGGTAAAAGTCGCGAAATTAGACGACTGATGGAGTTAGACTTCCGATACTTTGATAGCTATGGTAATGTTGGACAGTTAGATTAATCAATTTCTACTCTCTTAATTAACCGACGTTGCGAAAATCAGACGTAGTGATGGAGTTCACTCTCAAAAGGTGGTGTGAGGATAAATTTTTTATAATATTTTTTGATATAATTTTCACATGTTATTAAATGAGTGAATGTATTCAATATTATGAATCTCACATGAATAAAAAGAATCAATCATTTAAATAATATATCAAGTTATTGAAAAAAATGATATAAAAAAGTTGTTTCAAAATTATTTTTCTAAATCAAATGTTTACCAATCATTTTTCATAATGATGTAATGAGAAATATAGATTAATCAAGCTATTCTAACTGCTGGCAACCGAGCTAGCGTGCGCGGACAATGTTTAATGAATTTCATGGACTTGACTTGTTAATTAATTACTAAATAGTATATACTCAAATATGATTAATTATGGCATTTTTAGTGTATTAATTTACGTTTGGACCTCACGCAACAGTCATATTTGTATTATTTCATACTTAAGGGATATATAATTAGGAGATTACGCAACTTTAATTGGTACTTGTAAAATAGTTCTAATTTTTCAATAGGTTTAATTCTCTGGCACGCAAGGTTCAAATTTTCTACCCCATATTTGTCTTATATATTTATATATCTAGAAATCCCTAAGGTTGGAGTCTTGGAGAATCATTAGTTGACCGGTCGAAGAGTTAAATTAATCTCTTGCAATTAAACTTAATTATGTGGTGATGTTGGACAGTTTGATGAATCAATTTCGCTATCCTCTTAACTGGCAGCAGCACCGTCCTCGCGCTAACATCGTTCGATTTCGTAATTTTTAATTAACGTAAGTGAGAGATGAAAAATAAAAAATAAAAGATTTTTTTATATTAATCTTTCAGTGTTCAGTACATATATTGAATTTAACTAATCTGAAATAAAATTACGTCGGATCTTATAAGAGAAAGTTTTTTCAATATTTACTTTTTCATTTATAATATTTAAATTCAAAATTTTATTTAAGAAAAATCAAACTCATTTCGTTTAGATGAATAAGTTATTGGTAATAAAGATTTTTTTAAAAATAAACATGAAAGTAGTAAGTTGAACAATTCAAAGATCTTCTTTCGTGTTTATTAAGATTTTTTTTAATAGACACGAAAGAAGATCTTTGAATTGTTCAACTTACTATTTTTGAGCAATCTGTCAATATTCAACAATATATACAGTAAGTATCTGTTTTTATCAGCAAAATAATATATATTGTTCCATATCGCGAGATCGAGCAGCAGGATAGGGTTAATTCGCAGCGAGTTGGTTGGACTCTAGGCGAAGGGTTGCGATTGGAGGTTTTACACTGTCGGAGGCTTTGCCGACGATAGGTGGGGTTGTCGTTGGGGCCTTTAACTGCTGTACGGTTTTGAACGCTAGAATCAGTAACGGCCCAGGCCCTCTAAAGTCAAAGCTTTTGAGAAAAATATTTTTTAGTCCCTTGAATTATGTTTTAATCATTTTCATACACATTTCTGTTTTATTTCATACCCATTTTAAGTTCGTTTCTTTTCAGTCATTGAAGATTATTTTTGTGAATATGAAACAGAGAAAGGTAAAGACAATATAATAATATGAGGAAAATGAAGATTAATCAAATAAAAATTATTTATTATCATCATTTTACAAATTGTTTGTTCATCAATAGCCTAATGCTTTTCCTATCTTATTCATTATTGGTCTTTTTTTAGTTGTTATAGCCCCTCATTTTATGTATATTAATTTGATAATTTTATATAGTAAATAAATAACAACTGAATAATTTTTTTATTTAAATAAAAATAATCAACAAAAACTATGTATGGATAGAAAAAAAAGTTAATTATTATCTATTTATTTTAAAAAATCATCTAGTCAAACTTTTGCAAACGTCAAATTAGTACAACTAAATCAAACTGGAGAGAGTCGTTTCAAAAAATAAAAAAAAATTCAAACTAGAGAGAGTAATATTTTTCTACTCAATATATGTTCATGTTTGTTCCTAAATCAATGGCATATATCTCATCAACCACTTTTATAATTTATTGTTAAAGAGTAACATTTACTTTTCTTATTTCCTAAATAATTGTTATTTTTTATTTTAAATTTATACAAAATTAATTGTCATTTTTTATTTGTTAAAGTAGATAAATATTTTTTTTCTATTTTAACCATATTGTTATTCATTTATTTTAATTAATTATCTGACTTGATTAATTAAACAAATAGATTATCTACCTAGGTATTATTGTAATAAGATTTTTTTTTTTGCGAGATGTGAATTGAGACTTAATTAAACAAACGGATTGATCGATGGAGAAGTTATTACTTTCGAAAGGTGATTGCGGTAAGTCCTTGCGATCTAGAAATGGTAATAGTTGCGAAAATCATATCATCGATCGAGTTCGCTTCCGATATTTTAATAGCTATGGTGATGTTGGACGATTAGATTAATCAATTTCTATACTCTTAGCTGGCAGTGATGCGGCCCCCGCGCAAACAATGTTCTATTTTTTTATGAAATTGATTAATTAGTCAATAATTAGTAGCATACTCGGTAGTTAGAATTCTACTTAGATCGTGAGAAATTCTTGCGACTTTTAGTTAACATACGACAGAGATAGAATGAGAGTACGTACGTAATGAAGAAAATAAAAGGTTAACATAAAAAAGAAAAGAAAAGAAAAGAGAAGTTGTTACCCAACATGTGGTCAAAAAGGGAAAAAAATTATAAAAAAATCTAATCTATTTATAATCTTAAGTAAGGGAATCGAATATTTAAAAAATAAGAAGAACGATATATTTAACTTAAATATAATTAGAGGGGTTGCTCTCGATTGATTTTACATTAGCTGCCCAATCTATGCTTTGCCTCACATGTTAAATTTTCATATACTATTCGGTTTGGCTTTATTTTTATTACACTTGTTGTTATTAATATGGGTGACAAATCAATGATTTGTTGATTTAAGTAAAAAGAATTCAGTTTTTCTTAAATAATGTTTCCAATTTAAATATTGTGAATGGAAAAAAAATGCTGAAAGAGCTTTTTCCTTATGCAATTTAATTCATCTTAACTCTATATTAATTAAGATTCAATGTGACTTCTAAATATCGAGCGAATAATATAAAAAAAAATTTGTGACAAGCTTTAAAAGTCATATTAGGTTTGTACTTGTACAATGCCATGAGGGCATAATTAATTAAATCTACTTGATAAGCATTACAAAATTAAGTCTTGGTTTGGGAGTGTTAGAGTGTTTATAATTGTAATATTTTTAATTTTTTAATATTATAAAAATATATAAAATATATTTAATATTTATTATAATT